ATTGGACAAATCTCAGAATCGATGTAGAATCATTTCTCGATCTCTGATGCATTGATTTATTGTCGCAGCCCTAGAGCCGACTGAATATATAAATCATAGCTAAATGCCATTTCATCAGAATTTTCTCCTTCAGTGCGAAGATCATCTTCTTGCTGGACTCTGAAGAGGAAGAACGGAGAAGACTGCTTTTGCCGTAGAAGAGCCCTGGCAGTGGAAAGATGCTTCTTTTCAGCATTTCTACCCTGCAGCCATCCAGCGATTACAAAGAGCAAGTTGGAACTTTGGTGAACCAGTAGCTACTATGCCTAAACAAATACAGCTAACCCTGCAACTGCTACCTGCTTCCTGCAGTTCAGTTCAACCCTATTCCAACACACCTGCCTGTATTTTTTCTAAATAACCCTGAACACCTTGATTAGATTGTTCATTGTGTTTGATTGGAGTTGGAGCTAAGCTCTGTAGGAAGGAAGCTTTTTGAATAAAGTTTTCTCTCTTTCTTTCTTCCTTTAATCTGGTTTGGGCTACATTGCTCTGACTCTGTCCATCATGCACACACACACTCTTCTTTGGCTGGGATTTTGCATATCCATTCTACATGCCACCAAGCTACTTACTGGCTGTAGTTCTACCCTGCATTGTTCTGGTGTGCCGTTGCTTCCTTCTTCTCCCATGCATCTTCAACAGACTGACAAGAATCCGCCAGGGATGGGAGAGTAAACGCAACTGTCCAGTCTTCCAGCACCACCATGTGGTGACTAATTGAATACCATAGAGGTCTGGGAATGATTACAAGAACACCCATGTTCTTGGTGCAATTAAGGACTTGTATAAAATGAAGTGTTAAACAGATATACATTTGGCAGTGAAGTGGTCAACACTTTAAAGATGCAGGTCTTAAAAATCTCTCAAGTGGAATGCAAGTGAAAAACATTAGAGCCAAGATGCGCTTCGCACAAAGTGGACAAGGTTTATAAAGTATTTTGAGACTTGCCAAAATCTGACTACTTTAAGTCAGCCTTATCTAAAATGGGAACAATAATGATATGATGAGATTGTCACACTGGCAAATGTGTCTTATCTTCATAAGGGAAAAATAAAAAGATATGATAAGGTAACTTTGATAGAGTCAAGTTGAGTATTCTGATTGGATGTTAGTTATTAAGTGCAGTTTGTTGCAGCTGTGATCTTCTGTCAGAGGCACACAGACTAGAGCTCCACTCACATGTACAAAGTACCTCAAGACCTTCAGCTCTCGATTTCTGTTCACTAGAATATAAAAGCCATCATTAGTGTTATGTTTTTATATCCGAGTCATACAGCAATGCATAGACTCAAAACTCAGGTCTGTATCACACAGCTTTCAGCTTAGTCATTTGTACTGAGGTATAAATGTCTTCAACTCCTGGCTCAAGTTTTACAATTCTATGCACTAAAATGACTTAACATGTGCCTTGTATTATTACTACAGTATGCCAATATCTCAGATGATCGTCCTCAGGGCCAGTTACTGCATAAACTCAATTTGCAAACTCCATGAGTACTGAGCACTAATAATGACCAAAATTGCATTTATGAGTGAAAACTGTTATAAACAAAGCATGTGTGAAATTATGTAAAAAGTTTAAAAGTAATGTTTGGATGTCTGGTTATTTACACCGATACATAATACAAATTCAAAATGGTCCAGTTGTACAGTATGCAATGACTGCACATGTTGCTCTGAAAAATGTTTACTAAATGTTAATACACTTCTAGTTTCATTTTCCAGGTCGGACTGATAGGCTGTCGTTATTGTGGATGTTGTACTGAATTGAACTTTCAGTCAATCAATATTTTTGGTGTTGTGAAAGCATGATTTATACATTCAACTTTATTTAACAAAATGCAATCAACTTCCAAGGTGTCATTTAAATAAAACAAGATAACTGGTATCGGAGTTGTTGTAAATAAAATACCTAATAAGTAAACTCAATTTGCAAACTCCATGAGTACTGAGCACTAATAATGACCAAAATTGCATTTTATGAGTGAAAACTGTTATAAACAAAGCATGTGTGAAATTATTATGTAAAAAGTTTAAAAGTAATGTTTGGATGTCTGGTTATTTACACCGATACATAATACAAATTCAAAATGGTCCAGTTGTACAGTATGCAATGACTGCACATGTTGCTCTGAAAAATGTTTACTAAATGTTAATACATTTTTAGTTTCATTTTCCAGGTCGGACTGATAGGCTGTCGTTATTGTGGATGTTGTACTGAATTGAACTTTCAGTCAATCAATATTTTTGGTGTTGTGAAAGCATGATTTATACATTCAACTTTATTTAACAAAATGCAATCAACTTCCAAGGTGTCATTTAAATAAAACAAGATAACTGGTATCGGAGTTGTTGTAAATAAAATACCTAATAACTGGCATTCAAAATGCACATTTTGGCACAGAAATTCACAGTATTCATACCCAAGAAAATAATTATTCTGTGACAACACAACATCTCCCTTCAAAGTTTGTCAAACGTGTACACATCAGAAACTATGCTGAAGGTATTTGAATGGTAAGAATACATATAAAAATTATAGCTATAAATGAAATTAAAATAGATGTTTCGATCCAACTTGAAGAGATCACTTGCTTGTCACAGCTGAAAAGAAGTGCCTCTGATAATAAATACTCCAGGACCTCTTGAGTTGCATCCTGATTGTCATCACCATTCTGTCTGTGGATTGGCCTTGAACTTTTCATAGTCTGCTATTCTGAAGAAGGCAAGTTCTGTCTCATTGGCTGTGAGGAGAGGAAATGTGTTGAAATATAGAGATTTCAGCAGGTACAGGTTCAATTTTGCATACATGTTTTATTTTTAAGTGCACATGGGCAAAATTAATTACACATACAAATAAAATATTTAGTTTATCATTCTATGAAAATGTACAAATGTAATCTGCATTGAATCTCAAAGATCTAAATATTACTTTTACATACCAACACCACATGCTCTTAACCTGCAGCCATCACGAAGAATCAACTTTTCATCATCCTCTAAACTCATTACCAGCTCATTCGTCTGAAATCATGAAAAACAAACATCATTATTAATACTAATTACAATTTTGTTTAAAAAAAAAAAAAACTATTCCATCATGAAAATGTGATTGTTTATCAAAATCAAGTGGACATTTGTAAACTTAAGTGAAATAAAAGTGGAAGTATGAACATGAAAGGAGTACAGCTGAAAAACTTGTTCAAGTGCAGCATTTTATAAACAAATGTAGTCATGCTAATGTTAGAAAATGTATGCCACAAGTTGTTGATCTGATTTAAAGTTACCTTTGCTCCATGTGCCTGGTGTATGATTTTCATTGTGTCTGCAACAACACATCAACATGATATGAATGTTAATCTTATTTGTTTGAAAAATAAGTGCAGACTTACCATAGTCAAACTTCTTAAAGGGTGGAGGCAATCCAGCTCTTGCTGAAACATCTTAAAAGAGAGAAGTGTGTACCATTATTAAGCATTGTTCAATGTTAAGCAAATATCTGATTTACATGATAAACATGAATCATGTGAACTGTGGTTAGTTGCAATGAATCTGTTGTCATCATGTCTTACCTTGCTTAACAAATGTAATGAACTCCTCCACCGTCTGATCTAAGCTAACGTCTTTGTAAACCACCGGTTTAAAGTTGCGATGCTCGAAAGACCGAACCAGACGCACTGTCAGAACCGCCAGATCACACATCTCGAGCCCGATCACATTACAGACCACACGGACTACAGCGTAGAAACGTACGCCTAGAAGTAACTAAGCCTAAGTAAAATTAAGGATAGCAGAGCAGCCGCGACCACTTCACTATTTTAGCGTACTTCTGTAATTATACTGACGCACTAATTTCGAAGCGTTTACTTCCAGCATGTTCTGAGAAAGAATGCAATTCTAGACCAAAATAGCCGCTACGTCGATCAGGTAACATCAGCAGCATCAGGCAAAAGCAATGGAGTTGCAGAACAATAGATATTCAGCATGTGACTCATTCAACGCGGAAACAACGTGCTAAAGAAAAATCAATGTCTCCACACTTCAAAACAAACCGTTATGTTTATATTCTATGGCTTGAGTTGCCTATGTTTTCGGACTTTTTTAAGCACTATAGTGTAATTGTTTGGCCTCTATTTATCCTTGTCAAAAATGGAATGCAAATTAAATATCTATTATCATTTGGACACTATCCAATGGGATAAATTAAAAATCCTCTAAGAATGAAATACAATTGAAAATGCATGATCTTGAGGAAATATGGCGTAGCTCCATGTTTTTGTATGAGCGGAAGCTTATACATTTCCCAGTGGACTGACAGAAAAGGGCCTTTCACACCGCTTTAGTTCCAGAACTATTGGCGCTTTTCCACTGCGTGGTACGACTCGGCTCGGTACGGCTCAGTATGGCACGGCACGGTTCGGCTCGGCACGGTTTGCGTTTCCACTGCAGTTCAGTACCGCTTTAGAGTGGGTGGGATTATTCACATGTCGTTATAGTTGCGCTGCCTCTACTACCACGACTCCTAAAAACAACTTTTTCATTCCGTGTCGCCCCATCAAGCTCTCGCTGCATCCGCACCTCTGCTATCAACGAGAGGAACGTCTGTACTTCTGCAACAGACAACAAAACTTTTTGGTTGTTAAAAAAAAGGTGCGCTCGTTCAAAACAGCTGCGTTCGATCCTTCGCTGGCTGTGCTGATTTAAATCTAGCGGTTCTTTTGTGTTTGTGTCGCAAGTTCAGTGACGCAGGTAGTGACGATTCTCTCCGGCCAATCCGTGATCAGCAGAGTTTACACGTCACGTTTTGGTAATGGTACGGTTCACTTGGAATCCCAACCGAGGTGGTACTAAAAAAAGTACCAGGTACCAGGTACTGTACCCATGTATAGCTTGAGTGCTCTGTCAGTTGTCTGCTAAATGCATAAATTAAATATATAATAATATTTGCGTTCCAAACATGTCTAAATTGAATAGGCACAAAAACATCAGGTTCCACAAACCTGTAGGCTATTTTAGTGTGTGTTTTTTTACATACATTAACAGTAGATAACCTTAGCTAAGGATCAGTTGTTGTGTCCAAACACCTAAATGCAAAATCACTGATAAAAATCATACAGGTCAGTGTAAAGAACAAGAATAGAATCAAGCAACTATCACAGTAATGTGAGTGCTTACGATAACAGTGAGTGCTTATGATAAACTGATTGTTTGTTGGTGTGGACTCTAAGCCTCGTTACACCACGAGTTAAGGTTTTTTGAAATGTAGTGTAAAGATGCAATGCCGCATGAAAGCTAGATTAAATTATACCTGCTCAGACCCATCTCAGCCCCTAGCATCAAAGCATATAGTTGTAATTGCTAAGTAAATGCATTTATGCCACCTCTGAGCAGCATTAAACAGTCTGTGCAAAGACACCTAAATGCCACTTTAGAAAAGCTGCTGTGCCACCTTTTCAGTGTAAATGTTACATAAATGCATTTATGCCACCTCTGAGCAGCATTAAACAGTCTGTGCAAAGACACCTAAATGCCACTTTAGAAAAGCTGCTGTGCCACCTTTTCAGTGTAAATGTTACATAAATGCATTTATGCCACCTCTGAGCAGCATTAAACAGTCTGTGCAAAGACACCTAAATGCCACTTTAGAAAAGCTGCTGTGCCACCTTTTCAGTGTAAATGTTACATAAATGCATTTATGCCACCTCTGAGCAGCATTAAACAGTCTGTGCAAAGACACCTAAATGCCACTTTAGAAAAGCTGCTGTGCCACCTTTTCAGTGTAAATGTTACATAAATGCATTTATGCCACCTCTGAGCAGCATTAAACAGTCTGTGCAAAGACACCTAAATGCCACTTTAGAAAAGCTGCTGTGCCACCTTTTCAGTGTAAATGTTACATAAATGCATTTATGCCACCTCTGAGCAGCATTAAACAGTCTGTGCAAAGACACCTAAATGCCACTTTAGAAAAGCTGCTGTGCCACCTTTTCAGTGTAAATGTTACATAAATGCATTTATGCCACCTCTAAGCCGCATTAAACAGTCTGTAAAGATGACTATATTCCACTTCAGAAGCACCTCTGTGCCATCTTTGCTCTGTAAATGTAATGCAATCTACTTATCATTATAGTTATCTTTATAGTTATAGTCCTTGGTGTCAGTGGGCCTTTAGTCTTGCAGTTAAATGAATATCACAAAGTATCACCAGTGTCCCATGAATCGCTTGACAGAGGTGAAACAAATCTATACCGCCTCTGTTGAATCCATAGCAGCACAGCAAAATAAGTCATGTTGTGAATTTGGTGAGATGAACGGCTCGCCGTTGATCCAGTTCTTTTAATGAATCATTTAAAAGGCTCACACACTCAGGGTTGAATCAGTCTGATGAACTCACTCATTGAACTGCAAATTAGAAACAATTTTTGTCTACTTAAGGGTTGTGAAACTTAAATCAATATTACTGACTGATTGTCCATCACTGCATGTATTTGTAGAGTGTTCTGTAAACTCATGTTGTTGGTTTTCCACAGGCTGAGTTTCAGAAAGCAGCAGAGGAGGTCAAACAGCTGAAAGCGAAACCAGCGGACGCTGAGATGCTGGAAATTTACAGTCTGTACAAACAGGCCACCGTAGGAGATGTTAACACAAGTGAGCTTTTGCTTATCAAAATTAAAGTGACTAAATACATGTGACCTACGTTTATCTCTAAATCAAAATTGCAGCGCTTTAAAGAAATGTGTGTGCTTTTCCAGCTCGACCAGGCATGTTAGATTTCACTGGCAAGGCCAAATGGGATGCATGGGAGGCCAAGAAAGGTCAGTTTCTCCTCCCTACCAGCAGAGGGCAGTGAAATATCATTTTAAGTTTGTGTTTTTTCAGCATCTTAACTTGCAACACTGTAAATCAGCTCCAAAAGCAGCTCACTCTGTGTGTGTCTCTCTGTGTGTTTTTCTTCTTCTGCACTTTTCAGGTATGAGTAAGGATGATGCTATGAAAGCATACATTGCTAAGGTAGAAGAGCTGAAGGGGAAATACGGAATCTAATAGACGGAACCTATCATGGCCAGCCTGCCTTTACCTGTACTGTTCTCCCATAAAGTGCCTTTAGGCCTCCAGTGTGTCCCCTCACAAGGGTGTTACAGTTATGCTGTAGCATGCAGACTCTGTTCTGTGTGAGAGAATAGGCACATTCCTCGCAGGCCAAAAGAAATCGTCCACCAGTAACCATGTAGTGAAAGCCCTAATGAAGTCAGATTTATGCAATGCCATAAAATAACTTTTTTCAAAAACCATGTTTGCTTTGTGTTTTCTTACAAACACTGACTTAGAAAAACATGTTGGATTTCCCTTAAAAAGTTTGATATGTTTTTTTTTATTTTGAGATGTAGTTTTAAGATGTAGTAGTGCATTATTGTAAAATAGCAATATTCTATACTATAATTGAGTTGTTTTCTTGAGACGGTCTTGATAATGTGTCTGGCTGTAATATATCAAGTTGAATGACTTTACTTGTCCATTATTCCTAATGCATAAAATCTGCCTTAATTGTAACATAGCCATTACTTGATATTATCAACGTCCTATCAGTCATTTGATTGCAGTTAAGAGGTATATGCTCACGTCACCTGACCAGACATTTACAAACGCACAAGGGCTTTAAAACTTTTCACTCTAGTTCATTGGGTTTATGTGGTGGATGAGTGTGTAAACATCAACATAAGGTGTTATTTGACCTATGTCCCCATTTCCACAATTTCTATCCCGCCTAATGTCTTCACCTCAGTCTGGAAAGGGCTCAAAGTCTTTTCGAGACTATAAATTGCATAATTATGTTTTGGGTCACAGTCACCCAAAAGGGACTTTGGTCCGTCAATAATTATGATAATCAGCAGTGTAGATAATTAGCAATTTCTGTGAAGAGAAACATTCTTAGTGTTTAAGGTCTACCTTTAGTAATTACGTGCTTGATACCAACAACAGATTATTTTACTAATTACTTACTAAACACACTAGTTATACTACAACTAGTGACTATTAATTTTTACTAGTGAAAAGTAGCCATTTTACGATAGTGTTGAGTGAAAAACGGAAAGTATTGTTATATATTAAGAATAATTATTTAAAAAAAATGTGTTACCTTAAATATCTCCACTACATTGTATTGATAGCATTCGCTAATTGCGAAGGCACATTTTTATAGCCAACAATTTATGTAAATGCAAATTGTACACATTTTTATGCATAATTTGACGATTTTTTTTCCATACATCATGCATTAAATTTGGCTCAAGTTTAGGCTTTATACAGTATTATTATTTGTTTTTTTTTATTTATTTATGTATTTATTTATTTAAAAATGCATTTTTTAAATAAAATGCATTTAAAATAAAAATTTAAAATCAAACATACATAGGCTATCGAAGCTGATTTACTCTTTAATTAGATGATATTTTTGAAATAAATAAGTCTACTTTTTATCGATGGGTTTTCGTAGTGAGTGCATATGCATTCTATATTAGGCCCTATGCATATTATATTAAATAATGCATATTATAACGTTTCCAATTTTTTACCTTCCTATAGCAAACATAAGAAACAAATTGTAAAAAAAAAAAAAAAAAAAAAAAAAAAAACAAGAACATGGAACTAAAATTGATCGATGGGTTTTCGTAGTGAATGCATTCTATGTTATGCATATTATAAAGAATGCATATTATAAAGTTTCCAAGACAGTTATGTTACCTTCGTAGCAAACATAAAGAAAATTAGTTGTAAAAAAAAAAAAAAACCCTAGGACAAAATGCCCAAATTTGAAGAAACTCCTTATAGACATAATATCTGATTCCTAGTTACCGAAAACCTCCGTGACCGGAAAACTAACGCGAAGCGCCCGTGATCTGCGTATCTAAGAGGCAAGACGGGACGGGCGGGTTTGAAGACTGAACTACTTTTGCTGATCGACGTCAGTTAATGTTATACTAAAATTATACTGTACTTTCGACTGGAGTTGACTTGGCTTCTTCGTCTCGCTTCTCCTGGTCTCTGGGCTTTAAGGCACGTTGAAATCAATATGACGGCATTAAAAATCAGGGTAATGCCTTTTAAATGCATTTTTAATGTTTATTTGACGTTTATGTTATTCTTTAGAGTGGAATCTTTCATTTACTGGGAATGAAAATGCAAGATAAGCTACTTAATATTTAATAACGCAAGTTCGACAGCGCCAAGACTTGGACAAGAAAATATACAACAACATGAGGCGTTGTTTACATGGTTGTGAGAAGGGAAAAGTTTGTTATTTAGGCTACAGAAATGCTTTTCTTATAATAGCCTATTCTTATTAAACTACATATTTAAAAGTTAAATAGATTTAAAACACTTGAATTTTCCAGCAGTCTTAGCAGTTTCCAGTCTTCAGAAATGGCAAAACATAAGTGCCTGCAGCAGAATCTCATTGATACAAATGTGGATCAGATTTCTTCTGATAACTCTGTTTCTCTCTAGGTTGGGGCCATTCCACGTGGGAAGTCCACTCCTCTTTTTTTAGACTTATTTTGCCGCAGTCTTATTATCCTGTGTACATTTCTGTCTGTCATCCTCTCGTCAATTGCAGTGTGTGATGGTCACTGGCTGCTCGCCGGCCGCCATATGTTCGGCCTGTGGTATTTCTGCTCACTGGAGGAGCAGCAGGGCTCTGTGTTGGGGTCCCAGAGTTTTAAAGCATCCTCTAACTGCACTAGACATCTGGAGGAGGCAGGGGTGGATGGTCTGGGTGTGGGCTTGCCGGCGTGTCGTTCTGTGATTGCTCTGGCTGTGGTCAGTGCCATATTTGGACTGGAGTTGCTTGTGATGTCACAGGCCAGCGAAGGGAGGGACTCCAGTCGACGCTGGACCTTCGGGGCACGGCTGGTGCTGCTGGCGGGGGTAATGGCTGCCGGAGGAATTGCAACTTTTGTACTCCTGTTAGGAGCATTTGCAACGCTCCTTGGGTTTACTCTCACCTTCTGGTGTCAGTTCACTGCCACCTTCCTGTTCTTCCTCAATGGAATGGTAGCACGGCACATCCAGCATATTGAACCGCTGCTGCCCTTTAGTGGACATTCTGACAAACTGTAGAAATAAGGCCAGCACTAACAATAAACTCTAAAACTTGGAAAAGCTAAATTAGAAGCTGCTGTTGGTTCATCTTGAGCAGTTCTGTATCTGCATTCTTTTGATTTTGAAGATTTATAAATAGTGAACTTTCTAAAAAGGTCCCAAAAAGGCCCAATGTATCAATATTAATATGAAGCAATTTTCCATTTTCATTTATCACAGGTGTTATTTTAAATTACACTTTGCATTGTGTTGTGTTTTAGGGTTGAAGGAAATGTCTGTAAACTTGACAGAAAATATCCTGGCAGAAAATCACTGCAGGCCTGGTGTGCAAATAAATGTTTTTACTAGTTTGTTTGGTTGTATTTTATTTATTTTTCAATCATTAATATTGCTTTCACAGCAGATTGTTTCATTCTATCATTTTTATTTTTGTCATTAATGTTTAATTTTATTTCATGTAATTAATATTATTGACGACCAGCAGCTGACAACTGACTCCAGTTTCATCTGTGAACAATGCATCTTTACAGTTAATTTAATAAAGAATAACAGTTTATTTAATAAAGAATTCTCACTTTTACATCATTAAACAGACTTTCACAGTATTTTAGTATTTTCTTAACTATACACGGGGATCAGTTAATTTAATAACAAGATTTTTATTTTCTTTACATTTTTTGTGTTTTACAACTCACAATATTTCACAGGACAATACATGGATAATAGGTGTTCAAGGCATCATCATCAATTTTTACACACAGATATACAAGGGGATGAAAAAAATATAAAGGGGTCAAGATGTCTTTTTAAAAATATGTTTCTTGAGGTTCACTTATGAAGGTAATTTATTTATTTATTTTAATTTTTTAATGAAAACATTATTTTTTTTTTTCCTAAACATGATGTTTCTCACCTCCCAAAATGTTCGATTTTGATGCTCAGTTTTCTTTAAGGGTGTGTTTACACTTGGCAGGTTTGGTTTGATTAAAACGAACTCTGGCATGATTGCTCTGTTAGTGCGGTTCATTTGTATAAGTGTGAACGCAGCCATCAAAACCTTTCCAGGGTTCTTGGTCCACTTCGAAACAAAGGAAACTTCCAAATACCCACACTTGTGGTTTTGGCCACTTGAGAGCACGTGCACACAACAGGAAGTAAGTGCTCAAGACTGTTCCAGACACAGGGTGCGTTCCAAACTGGATATATCGCCCTCCGAAGGGCACTTCGAAGTGAAAACAATCATGGCTGCCATATTGAAGGATCGTTCCAAACCAAAATGCTCAAAACTGGCCACTTCAAAGAGCCCTTCGGAATGAAGGATTTCGAAGGGTACAGCTGATGGACACTTCGGGCCCCCATGATCGTTTGTGCTGATTCTTCCCATGATGACGGCGCCTCCATGTGGGCACGGGATGATGACGCAGAAGGGCACTTCAAGAAACAGTTGTTTGGTCCCCTACACCCTTCAATCCTTCAAAGGTCTCACTCCGGAGGGTAAACCGGAGGGTATTAGGGCATAGAGATGAGCCCTTCCGAATGGAACGCAGGGACAGATATAACTAGATTCCCTATTAGCGGCTGTTTCTATGGGCCACTTTTTTTAAGCTGTCTGCCATATTGGAATATATTAATTAATTCGTTCATTCATTCATTCATTCATTCATTACATTTATATAGCGCTTTTCTAGGCACTCAAAGCGCTTTACATTGTGAGGGGTATCTCCTCATCCACCACCAGTGTGCAGCATCCACCTGGATGATGCGATGGCAGCCATAGTGCGCCAGAACGCCCACCACACACCAGCTTATTGGTGGAGAGGAGACAGAGTGATGAAGCCAATTAGCAGATATGGGGATTGTTAGGAGGCCATGATGATCAGAGGCCAATGGGCAAATTTGGCCAGGATGCCGAGGTCACACCTCTACTCTTTTCGAGAGACATCCTGGGATTTTTAATGACCACAGAGAGTCAGGACCTCGGTTTAACGTCTCATCCGAAGGACGGTGCTTG